AGAGACCACGTTAGCAAGTAAAGGAAGATCATTATCTCCTTGTCTGGATGACAGAAGTTGATTTTGAAAAGTGCAAAGGCGGCGGCCAGTAATTTGCCAGTGGCAGGGGCCGGAGGGAAGGTCTGTACAGCAACATCAGCACAACCTCCCCCACTGCTTCGTGCTTTAAAGGAAATTCATTAATAACCTCTTTCCTGCCTCCTGAAGAGGGACCACAGATGCTAAACGCACCACCCAACCACCAGCAATAGCAACTCTGGGCCAGATATCATCCATCTTCCAACTTCAGTTCTAAAGGCCTTGCCAACTCTTGCTCAGGATAAAACTGTATAGAGTTTTCTCCCAAGTAAATCTTGAGTCATGAGAGAAATAATGGTTCAGCAAAAGTCAGAGAATAAAAATCAGGTTGTTTTGAATAGCTGGGACTAATGCCCAGGCCTTTAGTAATACAAAATAGAACTTTGATTTCACTTATATTTTATTATTTTAACTTACTAATGTTTGATTTATATTGGATGAATTATGAGTAAAGTGAGCAAATCCAAACATATCTAATGTTCATTCCACTTAATTTTGTCCAAAACACAGAAAATGTATTAAAACAACTTTTTTCTTCAGATTGATCAACAGAGAAAAAGTTGATAAAAGTTTGAGACATAAAAATGCTGATATTTAATTTACACAGTCATTTGCCATAACACTGTTATCTACCAATAAACTTCCAGCTCTGTTTAACACATTTATCATGTTTAAATCAATTTCACAGAAACTGCAGATTGTGCCTCAAAAACAAACAAACAAAAAACCAAAATAATCCAAAAATAAACCCAAATAAACTAAAACCAAACCAAGAAACACACACACACACACACACACACACACACACACACACACACACACACAAATACAAAACAATGAAATAAAAAAGAAAACCAAAACACCAAACCAATTCTGAATGGGTGTAGGTATGGATAATACTACAAATATCACTGAAACCACCAACAAATTAGATATATTGGGTGTTTTCCATCAAGCTTTGATAAGCTGGGTGAACATCAAGTGTCATAACTCAGCCATTGTCTAACACCAGTTAAAAGGCATTAAAAAATTACAAAATGCCATCATGCCTTTGGGTGTGCAAGCACTTCTTGTGCTGACAGATGCTTCCAGCCACTGCTGTTGTGTATATCGTCTCCAGCTGTTCCCTGAGGTGAATGCATCCACCCAGCTGTCATGTGCTACAGCCATTCTGCAGATCCTACTGTGAGGCAGCAATTACAGTGTGCTGGAATACCAGTGCCAACCTGGAGACTTGAGAAAAAAGAAGAAAAAATGTCTCTGAGGTATATAAGGGCAAGTCAGGGATTAAAGGAATAACTCACCCAAAAATAATAAATCATCATGTACTCACTCTTGTTCCAAACCCATATGACTTATTTTGCAGAACGTTTGCTCTTTTCTATGCAACAGAAAACAATGGGCACCAACATTGTCAAGCACCAAAAAATACAGGTGCATCTCAATAAATTAGAATGTTGTGGAAAAGTTCATTTATTTCAGTAATTCAACTCAAATTGTGAAACTTGTGTATTAAATAAATTCAATACACACAGACTGAAGTAGTTTAAGTCTTTGGTTCATTTAATTGTGAGGATTTTGGCTCACATTTAACAAAAACCCACCAATTCACTATCTCAACAAATTAGAATACTTCATAAGACCAATAAAACTTTTCCACGACATTCTAATTTATTGAGATGCACCTGTATGTTAATAAGATCAGATTCTATTCAACATGGTGCATCAAAATGCAATTGATGTCAATGTGTCTCATGAGAATAATAAATCTGCTTTGAATGAATGTATATATATGTCAACAAGATTTGGCAGCTACAACATATAGAAAACTTCTCCACGAATAATGACAAATTTGGATTATTCCCAGGGATATTATGGTTAACTAAAACCATAGATTATTAAATTACATACTAAAAATTATATATTTCGTTACTTGAAATAGACATTAACTGAAATAAAATAAAATAATTTATTGTTTAATCTAGCTAACAGGACAAAACAAATTATATTAGGGCTGTCAGTCGATTAAATTTTTTTAAATCTAAGTAATTACATGATGTTTCGATTAATTAATCTAACTAATCGCAAAATAAATTTGACTGTGAAAATACCCACAAAAGATTATTTAAAGCTATTTTTGTGTTAAATGAGAAAGTAAAATTGTAAAATGTTATTACAATATAAAATAATGGTTTCTATTTTAATATACTTTAAAATATAATTTATTTCTGTGATCCAAAGCTGAATTTCCATCAGCCATTACGCCAGTCTAAAGTGTCACATGATCCTTCAGAAATCATTCTAATATGCTGATTTATTATCAGTGCTGGAAACTGTTATAATTTATATTTTTTTGGAACCTGTGATACTTTTTTTCCGGATTTTTTGATGAATAAAAAGTTAAAAAGAAGAGCATTTATTTAAAATAGAAATCTTTTCTAACAATATACACTACCGTTCAAAAGTTTGAGGTCAGTAAATTTTGATTCTTTTTTTGAAAGAAATTAAACCTTTTATTCAGCAAGGATATGTTAAATTGATAAGTGATAGCAAAGATTTATATTGTTAGAAAAGATTTATATTTTGATTAAATGCTGGTCTTTTTAACTTTTTATTCATCAAAGAATCCTGAAAAA